AAAAAAAAGAAAATTAATTATTATCTTCTTCAGCATTTAAATAATCTTTCAATCATAATTTGACACCAAATACATTTCTAAATGATCAAACAAATGTTATATAAAGGTTCATTTTACTATTGAAAAATAATTCAGAAATATAAAGAATATTTCTATAAGCAACTTTTATCTGCATGTAGTCTGATTTGTAACACGTTCAACTGAGAAATTATACGATCAAATTACATCCTGCGTTCTTTATTCTATCAAGTTACTTACAAAAAATAATGATGCGTATTTGATTTCAAAATCCTTCTTTAGTTTTGATTCAGTGTTTTGTTTGAAAGCATACACGCAAAGTTTTTAATGAGTAGTATGATTATTGTTTATATTGAGAAAAACAGTTTATTAATATAAATGAGAATATGAAAGTTATAATCTAATCTATTACGCAATTCTCTTCTTGGTTTATATTCATAAAGACTTGACACTCATTATAATATATATATTCGTATAAAAACATGTCTTTTTTATTCCCAGAGGATTTCATATTATACTGAATTATTAAAAGATATATCATATTTCATTTTTGAAGACAGATTACTGAGATTTCTTTTTGTTAGGAGTAAAAAGATTTCTAAGACGAAAAAAATCCTTCTCATTTTTATAGAAATAAACAAGTTTGTCACATTCAATTAAACTAAATGAACTATTCTTTCGCATATTTTTAGCATTAAATGGCCTGTTCTCTGTTTTACTGTAAACAAGTCTGTAGTATATAAGAGTTTTTCTGTCAATCTAAGTTTAATAATTCTTTTTTTTCTGTTTCATTCACATTTCTATAATAGATCTTTTCTTTGTCGTGGCAAGCGGAAGGAAGAAAAAAAATGTCATTTTTATCCACATCATGACAACAAACTATATATATATATATATATATGTAAAAATGATATATGACGATTGTATTTAAAAATATATATATTTATAAATATATACATGTAAAAATTGTTAATTTATTTCAGTATTTTTCCATTACGAAGATTCATGTCCAGTATGATAATCAGTAGTTGATTGCGTTGGAAATGACACCATTGAATTAAAATATGTTTTTAATTTATTATGACGTAATGATGGTGCGATTGCTCGATTAATAGATCGATAAAAATGTATATTTATTAATAAACAAAATAAATGAAGAATAACTGATATTATTGATTTTAGTTTTGCATCACTTGTTTTAAGAAGCCACAAAGCAACTAAATGTAAATAATGCGTAAAATCGATGATTTCGTATAAATGAATTAATAGTGACTTACTTAAAAATGATAAAGCATGAAATAAAGCAAGCGAAAAAAGAACAAGCTGTAAAGATGTCTTGTCACCCGACCGAAGTGTTAAGCCCAACATTGTTGCTAAAACTAAAAATTCAGTTTAAATAAAATATCAACAATAAATTTAGACATACAAGCATATGATGTAGCGAGATGAGCAGTTGATTCCAGATCACCAGGTAATATAAAACGCAAATAAGATGGCCATAGAAGACCCTATATGTGTACAAAAAAAGAATTTTTTTTAATAAAGATAATTAGTAGTTCTTTCGCTTGATTACCATCACAGTGAAACAACTAAACAATGTTGTGACTAAAAGTAACCATGCAGCAAGTTTTGGTGGCAATTGAAAAATTACATTATCCGATTGTCCAAGTATTTGACTTATTTTTGAACTACATGTTAAGCCAGTTGTGTCACCTACACCTAATACTTTTCGAACTTTAAGACGACTTTGTAAATCACCGCAACTACTTTTCCTATGGAAATAAATATAAAAAAAATACAATCCAATTTAATTATAACTGAAAAGCGTTAATAATAGGTTTGTTTTTCTAATTTTCATGTTCAGTCATACAAACTACCTGCTAGAAATTTGCATATATACTTGGTTGTAATCAATAAATAACTCTGATGAGTATGATAATGTTTTTTCGATTGAATAAATATGGAAAATACAACAAGAATGGCAAGCAAATGAAAGCTGTTTTTTCGCCTGCTATATGTATCGTGACAAACTAACAGTAAGAAATGCAAATGTAAGTGATTGTCATAATGGTATGTATCGAAATAGGTTTAAAAAAAACGAAGAAAAGAAAGTCTGATGTTGTGTCTTATTGATGGAATAAATGAGTAAGAAAAAAGAGAAAGAATGAGAGCAGAAAGAAGAAGAAAAAAGTCAACGAGAATAGATAGATAGATAGCTATTTTTCTGTCTAATATGATCCTATGCTCTAAGCATTTACTTAAGTAGCTGCTTAATAGTTTGCCTACTAGCTCAAGAATGTGACGCGAGGGAAAATAGAAAAGAAAAGGCAGTAAAATAATGTATAGACTTTACAATATATTAATTGTCATTCTATAGAAAAAAAAAGGCAAAAGAGCATCCATCAGGGTAAACAAACATATGGTTTTTGGAATATACATACAAAATAAAATCCGGTTTACTTGACGTTCGATGTAGCATCGTAGATGCTGACGTTGGTTGTGAAGGTGTTGCTGTTAACATACTCTTTTTTTTCTTTTCTTATTTCTAGAATATTAAAGTAATAGAAAATATAGGACATCTGTTTAAATATAGAAAATATTGAATGTTCTAAAAACTAGATGCTTATTATTCTTTTAGGTATTCTTACAAAATGTGTGAAATGTTGACATACTACTAATAAAATAGTCACAGATTGTTTGAACAAGATTCATATTTAACTGCATTTTGAACTTTTGCAATATTTAATAACACATGCGGTAATTTTTCTGACGTCAGTAAATGAGAAGTATTAGCCGTGCTCAAGGTTAAAATAGAAAATGAAAAAAAAAAAGAAAAATTCTAAATAATTTTCTTATATTATATGCTTGAAAGAAACGACCTTTTTTTTCCTTTCTTTTTCTTATTAGTTAATTTCCTTTTTAAACTTTTTGTTTTGTAAAAAAAGGAAACGATAAAGAAAATTATTTAAATATAATATGTCATTCTAAAATTCTGTTAATATTATTTAGTTGGAAGAAAAAAAAACGCTATATATACAATAAATATACTTTAAGAAAATCCTATTAAACAATAATATGTCATCTTACCAAACTTTGACAAAAAAAAAATAAGTAACAGTAGTATTTAGTACTTGTCAGATGATAATGATAGGATATATCTGTTTTTTAGTATGTTGATTGTATATATATATATATATATATATCCATCTATCTATCCATCTATATATATCTATATATATATAAATGCACCGGAAGAAAGATCTTTTCCCATTCTCTAGCGTGATATATTGCCTTAAACAACTTAGTAGAAGATTGATTAGGTCAGGGGTAGGTCTGTTAATAATGCAAAATCGTATATTGTATCGCATCGTGCTGGGCCTCTCGTATGTTAATGTGTTCTATATTTTCATAATCAAATAAGAGAAAAATTATCTTGGCAAACGACGTTTATAAAAGCTTCGATAAGTTCTAACATGTGATCATAATGACGAACTACAAAAAAAACTCATTTGTTTTTGTGTCTAAATTGAATAATCTGATTTATGAAAAAGAAAACAACAAAAAATAAAGATGTCCCAAGAGATGTAGACGGGTAATTCAACAGTAGGAAAAAGAAGGAGAAGTACTATTTTATTTAATCAATGAAAAATTGTTTTTCTATTGCCCTTGGATTTGAGCTTCTTCATATATGGAAATCAAGATAACTTATTGAAACGACAAAAAAAATCTCATAAATAACATGCTAATTAATAATAGAATGCGTCTGTTTCTATTCTTATTCAACAATCCATACAAGCCAGAGGAAAAAAAACCTTGAAAACCTCTGTTTCCTCTATCATAACACCAGGAGTATATAATGCATATTATGTGATTAAAAAAAAGATAGAGTATTTTGAAACAACTTATCTTTTCATATGTGAATTTATATAAAAATCTTTAGGTAAACCACTTATTAAAATCCTTTATTTTCAAGCTGGAATATTATATATAATTTAAAATTTTTATTATAAATTTAAGATTCTTTTCTCAATACAATGATTATAATATTATCATGAATACATAGAACAAAAAAAATAAATTGGATAAATAACCAATAAAATATAATATGAATTTCTACTCGTTAGCTTATATTTGATAAAACATAAAATATCGGATTAATTTATGACTGAACAGTGGTTGTAGTTGTTGTAACAATACTACTTTCAATATCATCATCGAATTGTTCAGCATTTAAGGCATCATCCATAGAATCTGAATCATCACATTCTTCTTCTTCTTCACCTTGACAATTCAATTTAGTTAATTGATTACCAAGAATATCAATTGAATCGTCCTCATCATCATCATCATCTTCACTAATTGATTCAATATCTATTGTTGAAGATACTGGTAATTGTTCATTATTTAAATTGGTCGTAATTTGTTCAGTAGATGATATAGTTAAATTCGTATTTTTTTGAGATTTTGAACGTGCTGTTCGATGTTTTCGTTTTCGATGTACATCAGCGTTTTTTATTTGTAGAATTTATTGATGATGTTGATGAACAAGATGTTCGTTTACTACTATGTGAGCGATGATGATGACCACGATTTGATTGATCACGTGAAAAGAAAATCGAATTTTTATTCACTTTTTTATATCGTCGTCGACGCCAAGGATGTTCCGTACAACAACTGAAATATATAAAAATAAATTTGTTTTTATTAATATAGAGAAAACGAGAATAATAAATAAAAAAAAACTCTTTTATAGTAATAATATAATTATCACTAGAATGAAGGACATTTTCTAAGTACATCAATTTGATTATAAGAATTAATGTTTTTATTCTTTACAATATTATATCGTTATATAGTATTTATTTAACAATTCATATTATTATATTTGATGGAAAATAAATATAATGCATTACGTTGTTAACAATGATGTGCATTGAGATCTTTTACATGTTTCCGCTATTGAATATAAAAATAAAGGTCTTTTTAATTATACAAAGATCATCGATTGATAATTGGAAGAATAATCACTGATATAGAGAACTTCATTTTATACTTTTATCTAGAAGATATATTTAGCTAACGGGTACAGATAAGTTTTTCAAGGAAAAATTATACAGAATTTGCAGATTAATGATACATTTATGTCTATTATTATCTATAACTACAATCATTTAATGATAAGATCAATATACGTATATCATGCATCTAAATAATCAGTCTTATTAATTTCTTTCGGGTAACAACGTTATTACATAACAAATAAGATTAGAAGTAAAAATATCGAACTAGTTTCTTTTGTTTTTCAATAATAAATGATATTTACAGATAAGAAAAATTCTAGAATTTGTTTCTATTAAAATTCTTTGACAGTGAGATAAATACAGGAATTTGACCTTTTTCCTTAAGGAAAATATTAGTGCTATATTTTAACCTTTTCTTTTCTTTTAGAAACGAATAAATTCAAAGATGCAAATTTTTTACCTTTTACATATTCCTTTAAGCCAAGGATCAAGTGATTTAATTGTATAAACTTGTGAATGATAACTTTTCGATACAAATTTATAGCTATCAAAAAATTGTACTTTTCCATTATTCCATCGTGCTCCAATTGTTTTTTCTCCCTCACCTAACATTATTTCTACATGTGTTAAATCATGTCGTTGTTTTTTCACTATTAATAAAAATATGAAAAAGAAAAAAATTCATTTAATTGTATTCATTGAACAACCAAATCTTCACTTACTCACTCTTCGGATTGTAATAAGTAGCGGATATAAATACAAGATCACCAGGTTTAACATCAGTTAAAGATGTTATTGTTTTTGGTAATGTATCATACATATATGATTGATTCCATGGACCAATAGTAAATCCAAAATCTTTTGCTAAATCATACATAACACGTCGAACAAGTCCACAACAATCAAGAAATAATTTAGATTCATATTCAGATGCTAAATAAATAAATAAATATATATATACATATGATTTAGTTTTTCTCTTACTGCCAGGTTCAAAATATTTTTTTGCATAAGGTATTCCAAGATATCGTTTAGCTTGTTCAACAAATTTTAATCTTAAACGGCGCATTCGTTGCGGATTAGATCGTCGAATTTTCTTTTTCTTTCGTGATTCTATACGTTGTTGAATACGCATTTCTTCCTGTGAAAAACAAAAAACAAAATATATATTTGTATTTTTATTTTCAAAAGTAAATATCAAATATTAAAGACATATAAGAAAATATCTCTACATACGGATGTGACATCTTTGTAAACAGGATATCCTTATGTATATATGTGTAAATATAAATAAATGTTCATCACCTAATTGACAAACTAATTACACGTGTCATTTGCCTATATTTATTCTATTTATACAGGGATATATATATTAGAAAAAGAATCGAAAGATTGAACATGAATGATCCAATCGTTAAAATAGGGCGGACAAACTCGTGCCTATCAACGATAATCCTTCGTCAATATATAATTCATTTAAATTACGCCCTTTTCTTTCGTTAAACTAAGAAGGAAAGGGAGGGAGAGAGATACTTGTTGGTCAACATTAAATTTCGTATAAAAAGGCAACATTTTTCTAGTATTCATCATTTTATGAATCGAACTTCAACAGTACAATGCATCAAGCAAATATATAAGTAAGTACATTTTATGAAGCTCTATTAAATTTGTTTGATTATCGAGCAACTACATGTCATCTTACCATACAGCGTTAGTTCGAAAATATAAAATTGCTAATACTGTCAGGTAAAGATGGCCTAAGGACGCTCATTCGACGATAAAATATCTAATTTTATATATACATACCATTCGTTGTTCACGAAATCGACGAAAAGCATCTTGTAAATTATCATCAGTTGTTTTTGTTTTATTTGACAATGCTGTTGTTTTAGATGGAGAGTTCCAATCAACAATAAATTTCGTATTTACAGATCGATTTGAATTATTTATCATTGGTCGTATAGTAGATGGTGATGAACGAGTTGAAACTGATGAAACAACCGATGATAATGATGATGATGATGATGTAACTGGTTGTACCGCAAGCGCCATAATAAAAAGAATGTTTTCAAAATAAAAAAACACTCTCAATGTGATCGAAAGAAAAAAAAAATTCGAAATATCCATTCGTTCCAGATGTTGCTAGACATCCTCCTTCAATTATATAAATAATAAAGACGACCTCTATTGAGAATTCATTTAATAAATTAAAACTTGTTTAATTTAATGAAAATCATTTGTTAAAATAATGTCTTTAATGTTATTAAAGAATTGATAAATAGTTTTACAAAAAAAATGATAGTTCTATATAATATTAATAATCTTCATTACAATTGCATAATTATTTTTTTTTCTTAAATAAAAATAAATAATTTCTTAATAAATTGATCATGATTAGCTTTTTATATAACTAAACCATTACGATCATTTTTGATATTAGTAACCTAGCAACTACCAATGGTAGTAAGTACATGTTCAGATATAAATGAATTGCTATTGTCTTGATTTTTCTATGACTTCATTCAATATTTTTTATGAAATCCGATACTATAAAGATCTTTTTCTAATCGACTTATTTCAACATCTAAAAAATGTTTTGTTAGTTTTAACAAATTATTAATATAAAACTTCATCATACTTATCACATTAATAATAAATAATGTCGATTAAATATCAATCAATCTATATATGAACTATTGCAAAATAAATAAAATCTTCGTCTTTATACGTAACGTTATATTATATTTTATTTACAATAGTTAAAGAATTGACATTAAACAAAAGATCAATTATATATTTGTTTATTATTATAGATGATTTTTTAAGATAAATAAAATCATGTCAGTTACATCGGGTCCACCTGAATTACCGCCTGATTCTCCTGGTTCTGCTGTTTCATCACGCTTGCAGGTTGGCTGTAGTGTGAATTATTATTTTATACTCACATATTAATCGCTTTCTATATATTCACCTTAGCCATTGTGTGTTTCGATGTATTAAAACTAATGAATAAAATTCTTTTTATTTTTCTAACTTTTATTCAGAATGAATATGATGATTTATTACGACGAGCTATTGTTATTTCCACGAATGGCCTTACAACAAAAGTCACAATGAATCAAGCAGCACTTGGACTTGGACAACGACCTACGAATAAAAAAAGTTTGATTATAATCATTCAAATTGTATATATGTTTTTATTTGTTTTTAGAAATTCAAGTCGAAGATCTCATTGATTTAAGTAGTCCAGAGACACATCGAACTGACATGTCACTATCTGTAATTGGTAAGAAAATTTCGATTTATTATCTTAAAAGATTATATAATACTTTCTTATAGACACTCAACGACAACAGTTATCACAAATTCCATCACTTCAACAATTGCTTAGTACAGCAGCAACAGGTTCATTAAATGAACAACAAAATATTGAAAATTCAGTAACACCAAGAGACTGTGATGATCCAATAGTACACCATCTTCTTCGTTATTCTGAATTCATGTCAAATAATTTAGAATCAAAACCTATAACTGAGAAAATGGATCATTGGTATTTGGATCTTAAAAAAAATTTAATGGTAAAAGAATCTTTAGATTTATTATTATTTATTAATTTGTGTTTCTTTTTCTTAAGACTGAATTTGACAAATTACGATTACAATTTCTTGAAGAAGCACAACAAACTACTTTACGTGAAAAACAAGCGTAAGTTAAAATTCCCAAAAAAAAAGAAAAGAAGTTTATTCCTAATTATTTTCTAGTCAAGCAAAAGATTATATACGTTTAAATCAAGATATTAAAACAATGCGTGAAATGTTAACACATTATGAACATACAATCGATCAAAAAGATCAAACAGAAAAAAATCTTAATAAAGCATTAGATTTATTATATAATAAAACTGTTGCTTACCGTCGTTATTATGAATGGCGTATAGTTCATATTGAAAAAAAAACGACAACAATATGCCTTAACACTTGCTAAACGATTTTATGAAGATAAAATGAAACGTGTATGTTTCATTTCTATAGAATTTTAATTATTTGAATGTTATATTGTAGAAAGCATTAACAAATTGGAAGCATTTAGTTGAACAAGGATGGAAAAAACGTTTTGAATTAGCTTGTGAGAAAAAAGCTAAAAATGTCTTGATTGAATTAGGTAATGAATATGAATTAAAATATAAACAATTAGAATTGGAATTATTAAATGCCAATGAAGAAATAGCTCGATTAAAAGTTGATAAAGGTGATCATGATGAAGCCATGAAAAAAGCTTTTATGCGTGGAGTTTGTGCCTTAAATATGGAAGCAATGTCTGTTTTACTTAAAAATGAAAATGAATTAGAAACAACAACATCAACAGTTGAAGATCAACAACGTCGATGTTGTAATCGTAAGTTTAAATCAATGATTGATTAAAGAAAAGAAAAGAAAATCATCTGCTCTTATTTTCAATTAAGATCATAATAGTACTGATGAACAAGTTACTGATGAGAGTAATCAAGAAAATGGTTTAAAACCTTCATCATCATATCATCAGACATTTCCAACACATGTTTATAAAGAATCTTTACCAAGTACAATTTATCGTACAGGAGAAGCACGTTCTATTCGTGTATGTATTACATTTTATTAATACAAAAAAAAATAATAATTCGTTTTGTTTTAGCCTACAACGACTAATCAACAACGTCATGTAACATTTCATAAACGTCAATCGAGTGGAACAAATCGATCGCGTTATCCAAATAATAATGTTTTAGTTGAACGACATGCTCCAACAAATAATATTCGCTCCTAAGATTTTCTTTTCCTCATATCCGCTCATTGAACAGATATATCTGTTTTTTTATTATTTCTTATCACAGTTATATAAAAAAAAAAATTTTTTTTTCTCTCGTAGTTTAATTAAGTAGTAGTCGTATTTAAAATAAAACAAATTATCTGTGTTTTTCTTTCTTTCTTTCTTTTTTCCTTTTTTGCTATTTCAAATAAAAATAAAATTCTTTTCGAGTTATCGTCCTCGACGTGATGATACTGATTGTTTTTTAGTTAAACATGTTGTTGATTTTTGCGTATGATTTAGAAAAATAGCAAATAAGACATATAATCCTAGACTTGTAGCAATAGCATAAACAATAAAATTTTGTATATTTATAATTAAGAGATTTTGTTGAATTTGAATGATAGGTGATGATTCAATAACTCCACTAAATAACAGAAAAAGATTATCTCACGAAATAAAAACAAACACATTTCATACCTATCAACTTGTTGTTGTTGTTCAGCTTGTTCTGGATTATTAAATAGATAAGGTTGATCCGGATGAACACAACCTGGACATGATAATGCTGATAATGAACTAAATTGTGGATGATTATTGAAAAGATAAAAAATTTGATCTCCCTGTCTTATACGATTATTTGTTTCAAGAGGATATATTTGTTTATCTATTGTTGTCTAGATCAAAAAAATAAAGAATATTTTATAGAAAAAAATTTTAGAAATTCTTACATCCATCATTACAGCATAAAACACAAAGAGATTATTTTCACCGGATAATAGTTGTAATTCATGAGGGTAGATCAATCGACCATCACAAGCTTTAATAAATCAATAAAATATAAGGTACTTGGTAATAAAATACATACTATATATATCATCAAAAAATTGTTCTAATATACAGGAAAGACTGGATGAATCAACATGATATTTAATACGAAGAACAGGTCCCATCATGTCAAAGAAATGAAATGCATCTATTTTTGGACGATCTAAATTATTTATAAAATAAATTGAATATTAGTAGAAGTATAGAGTTCTTTTATTTCTTCTTCCGTTCATGATAAAGAAGTATTTTCAAGGTTCCGTTTCCTTTTCCTATTGAGATAAAGTATTTAAATATTAAATTTTATTATATATGGACATATGTCGATTATTTCTCACCATATGTGCAGATAATAAATCATTTACACATTGACAATATTTATGAAATTTTATTAAATGAAAAAGAGAAAATTCTAAACAGCTATTTTAACGTTTAATCATTTTTAATAAATGTCATTGAATCATAATCAAAGATAAATATTGTTATTGTGAGATTTTCATCTTATGTGTCATTTACTATAAGGTTATTCTGATATGTTTTTAATAGATTTTTTCGTTTGATTAAACGAAATACAATACAATAAAGGTGATATTTGAAAGAATATGTCAATCAATATAATGAGAAAAACTTATTATATGATAAATTATTTTATTTAACATACTTTGTATTGCTGTAAGTTGATCATTAATCATAATTTCATTTGTTTTATTATCGGGAATAAATCGGCGATAATATTCAAGTTGTTTATTTGCATTATTCCAATTTACGATAGATTCAGTTAGTTTCCAATATGTTTCTTTTAATGATATAGTTCTATTCATATAATATGAATCAATAGTTCCATTAGATAATTTAAGAAAAAGATTTTTAACAGTTGAATTTTTTTCAATAACTACAGCAATACATTCAATTGTTGTTGTTAAGATTATTTCATATATATCAATTAAATCTTCTCGATATCCATCAAAAATTGGTTCAGTAGAAAGTAATTTTATTATATAAATATTTCGTTGATTTTTTGGAGTTCTTATTACGAGACGCGAAGTAGACGAAGAAGAAGGTGATGATGATGATGAAATTGTTGTTTGAGTTTTATTTTTTCTAGATGATGAAGTAGTATTTATAGGATTCGTAGGTTCTTGTTGAAATACTGTTGAAGGTTTTCTTCGAGTATGAGAAAGAAGAATAACTTGATTTTTGATTGATTTTATCTGATAATTTAATGATGATATTTCATCATTAAGCCAATCCATACTATTCAATAAAAAAAAAGTATTTGTATTCTAGTGTAGTTTATCGATATGATCAATAGGATATTATCATAACCTTCAAAACTATGTTTAACTGTGTTACATTCAGTAAAATTTTAATTTTTTAGAGATTTGTTGTGTCATTCAGTCTGGTGCTTTACAAAGAGGGGGAAAATATGTTTAAAATTTTAAATCGGAAATGTTTCAATTAGTTAATTGACGATAAATAAAACAATAAACATTTCTGTTTCTGAAGAGACGAACAACGATATATAATAGTTGTTTCTAAAGTATTACATTAAAAAACTTTTTCTTTAAGATTTTAGAAAAAACTGATCTCGAAGTACATATTTTATTAATACGTCATAACATTTTTTTTCTTACATACTGCCTATTCACATTACGATGTTGTTGAAAAATTGTCCAAAATTCAGGTTGATCTATATGAAAAATATTTCCATGATTGAACCAATAATTTCGATTGAAATAATCTGTTTGAAATGTATTCGTTATAGAACATATCATCCAAAATGAGATTAATATAAGTGTGATCATTGTATGTAACGACATTGCAAACAAGTTGTATGAATATGATAAAGTAAAAGAACGATTGTCGTATTTTTTTTTACTATTATTATTTCTCGCGTTAAAAAAAAAAGAAATCTGCTCATTAAAGTATTGCTTCTATATTTTTCTTTTCTAGTCTATTCACTTTTTTCTCCTTTTTTTTCTCGTGTTTTAATGACCAATTTTTTTTTCTTTCTTTCTGTTATTATTCATTTATGTCTCTTAATGTATGTAGTATGTCTATAATGAAAAATAAAAGATGGAAACGGAAAAAAAACCTATAAAATATTCTGTTTAAAATAAAGTTCATATTTTAATCCAAATAAAATCATATGTTTACTTTGATATGAGACACGAAATAAATGAGGATTAAGATAGAAAAAGAAAACGACATGTAACAATATTTGACTTTTTGTCGTGTGTATTACTTTTTCTACATGGAGACAACGAACAAATATGTATAAAACTATCATTAGACATTGTTTATTAATAATATTAATGACTAAGAATAGTTTTATTGATGGATCATGCGATATATTTTTTTATAATAAAGTATAGAAAAAAAAATTCTCTTTTTCTTTTCATTTATTTGTATAAATAATTTTTTTTATGTTTAATATAAAAGTGTCCACTACCACCAGTTACCATTAAAATAAATATTGCCGAATTTTGTTATGAAGCAAAAAAACATGTTGATTGTGTGAATAGACGTTTGGAAAATTGTACAGAAGTTCAAGAATATGGTCCAGCTTTAGGTAGGTTTTAAGATAACATATATATTTTTGTCATAGAATTTACTTTATTAGAAAAATATTGTTTTTATAAAAAGCATATTTTTGTAAAAGTTTTTTTCAAGATGATGAAAAAGTTTGTTTTTATTCCATTTATAACAAACGTTGACAAACTGTATTTTTAATGCTTTTTTTCTTCTTTCAATAATCAAATGAAATGAATTGAAGGTTATTAAGTACTATATTTTATTGATCTTTATAGAAACTCTGAAATTAACATTCAAAGTTTATCTAACTCAAGCAACATCGCATGGTTGCCATGGTTTACATGATCAAATACGTATACCACGACGTCTTCCGCGTCCACGACGTTCAACAACAAGAAAACCACGCAAAAATAAATCAAAAAGGCGTCGAACAACAATAGGTATGAAATATGTTTGTCGAAAAAAACTTATTATTGAATCTTGTGGACATTGGAATCAATCGTTAGACATTCTTAATCAGACAATATGTCATTATGCATTTCAATATATTCAATGTATCTCACCATTAAAAATAAAATGTCAAAATATGTTATCAAATGATGTACATATATTACAAATTCAAACATTTTTACAAAAATGTTATAAAAAATTTATCAAATCATCGAATAATCATATCGATTGTTTAACTTCAAATTTCATTTTTACTTTTATTAGTCTAATAACTTATATAATTTTTAAAGATGAATTTTATCAAATATTAGAATATTTTTTTTGATTTTATTTATTTTTGATATTATCTTGATGTTAAAATATAATATGATATTCATATTCAATAAAATTAATTCGTTATAAAAAAAAGAAGAAGAACTAAACAATGAGAAAGACAAGTGCATGAATATAATGTACAAAAATATGATTTATCTATAGGAATAAATGGGTTTTATCTAGTTAAATAGTGATTTTCACTAGTATGGATAATGCATATTAATATACGTGTTGAAGATGAATAAAAAAAGATTACATTTCTATACGTGTTTACTTCCTGAGTATTTGTCATTTATATTATGTTCAAATTAATCCTTATTTTCCTTTGCTGATTTTTTTTTATTTGAAGACGCATCACGAAATAGTAATGGACACATTCCTATCATATGTAAAATCATAATTATCTAAGTAGAAAACTATATACATATAATCATTTCTTACCTAAAAGACATCCTATTTATAAGACAACAATCAATTAAAGAAAAGAAAATCAAAGTATAAACTTACCGACAAAAATACAAATAATTTTCGACTAAAGAATATCAAAAGGCGAGAACAAATTTTAATATAAATTAAAATAATTTTCATTTCTTCTTACCATTAATTGTGTGATATGTACAGATCGTGATGCCCATTGATTAGTAGTTAATTTCGGTGTACTCATTCCAAATAGTGCTAGAAATCGTCCACACGTCCGTTCAATACGATCCGCAAGACTAAAAATATTTAAATCTCATTTTTGTCTCAATGCATATCATTTACTTACCCAATACCCATAACATCACTAACAGCATTTCCAAGACCAGCAGCTATATTAAAAATACATATATATAATATTTATTCTATTTAGAATTTATTTGTTCAATTACCTGCCATTGTTGAAAGACATAAAGCAGCACCAAAAAATGTTTCAATAGTTTCGCCCTGTATATTATTAAATATTTGTAAAAGAAGAAGCAATCTTAAATTACCGCAACAAGCATAACAAAATTATCAACGAAACCAAAACCAATATATGGAAGACCCGTTTCAAGAAAAACTAGAATATTTTATAATGAAACTATGAACATTAATTAATAATATTGAATTGTTTACCAACAAAAAGTTGTGAAGAAAGTATTTGATTTGTATCAGTTGTTGGCGATAATTTTTCTACTTCAGTTAATTCTTCATGAAGAATTCTTCTATGATCTTAAATGATAAATATTTTTTCTTGTTTTATTGAAATTTTATGTTAATTTAAAAGTTCACCTGGTTCAAGTGATAGAAGAAAATTTCGTGCTAATTCATGCATATCTTCATGTGTTTCCCTTTTTGAATAATGAGCATGAATAGATAAAGGAGCAATAGTTGTTATTGACGTATTATGTTTATTATGACGTTTTAAGAATTGAAATCGTGCTATTTTAACAGAAAAACGTGAAGCTGATCGATAGGATGATGTTTGATCTGATGTTGATGTTGTCGAACGAATAAAAATTCTTTGAATAAAAACCATTCTTGGAAGCCAACATGTATGAAGAGATAAACATGAAGACATTCTAATCGTTATGAGTATTCTTTGATATAAATGCTCAACTCATTGATATGTTTCAAATAAAATCTGAGGATAAATAGCATGAGAAGGATACGAACATGATTGGTATCTAGAAGAAATATTATTATAGAAGATGGCGGTAGCACACGAATAGATTTCTTAAAAGTATATATATTTTACAACTGAAAAAATACTCTAGTTTGATAGTATTTATTAGAAGAAGATCTTTTTTCCTTAAACTTTAACTAAGGTTTAAAATAATCATCTAGAAATCTGATAAAAGTAACTAATTCACATTTTTCTTCTGATCGATTTAGATTAGGTATTAATACAGTTCCATATAATGAGAAAAATCATTTGTCAGCGACGTGACTCCACAAAAGACATCGATTTTTATTTTTTGCTGTTTATTTTAAAACCTAAATAGTACGGTCTTTAGACAGTTCAAAGACCTTTAAATTACTGCTCAAAGTATTTTCGGATCACATACAGATTTCTAAATAAATCCGGTTTACTTTTCGTTAGCGACTTGATGGGATTCCTGGAAATTCCGTTATTGTGAGGAAAATTTGATCACAGATGTAACTTAAAGTTTTAGATTTTCCTCTCATATAGCTCGACTGGTATTTACTAAGTAGTAGATGAAAATGCGAACATTCCTACATATGCCTATGCTAAAAGAATTTAATCTAGAGAAACATCCTTGTAAAAGTTACAGTCAAATGAAAGTGATATATGTCCTGTGCTGTCTGATTTTACAGACATATATATGTCATCAATCATAGAATTAGCATAACTTACGAGTATTTTTATGATGCTTTGATAATACTTATATCGATGGAATGCTACTGTCTATAATGATCAGAGCGAACCTTTCACACGTTAAAGTCATTGTATTATAAGATACGCTATATGATATCGTATTTCACAACTAACAAGCAAACCCTACTTTTTTCTTTTGTTAACAAAACTATTTCTGATCATTTTATATTATTTGTATAAACCATAGAATAACGTTTCTTTTACACTGAGCACAGCAAATAAAATCTTTTTCTACCAATTATCTCAATATCTAAGTCACATCAGATTTATTAATGCGATGCGAAGCAAAGTATTTATGTAGTCCTTCGCAAGTTTTCTCCCTTTCTTTCTTACTTTCTCGACGTAGATATTCAAAGTTATCATTTTGTGTTACGATTATCTGAGGAACGGAACATCACAATATATTTGTTTAAACACAAGATGAATATATTAAAATCGAACTGATACCATTCGTTTTTTGATTTTGAACAGCATGCTTAGTTCGATTATAGGAAGCGTCGGCATAAAGACGTTTTTGATTTTGTTTTTTTCATATTTCGAGATTCGTGATAGAATATTCATACTTATATATCATATTACGACTACCAGTGTTAATTAGATCTTACTGTAAAATTCATGTAACTTTACTTTAATTTAAGTTTTTATTTTCATACGTTATATCAAACATCACATAAATCAATAAATAAAAAACATTCAAAGAAATTTAAATAGAAGATCATTTCATTTTTTATGGTGGAATTGTTCTAATGAATGTTACTGAATTACAGGAAAATAAAAATATTGGTTTATTAATTTTGAGGGTGGGTGTGGGTGAGGATGCAGACAAAGAGAAGAAGCATCTACAGACTCGCCCATACCCTCAACCATACCTTCAGGACATATTCATCTATATATCGCAGCTTTCTCATTTTTTCTTCATCATACGAGGCCTCGTTCAATACTATTACAATTTAATTCCATATAGGTTATTCTTCTTTTAATTTTTTCGTTTTTTCTTCTTTTTTATTACAGAGAACAGTCTTGTAAATAATTAGGAATGTAAATATGCCTGAAAGGGTCATTTATACACATACGTATGTATGTGTATTACCTTATCAGTCGATTGTCTATTATGTTTTTATTATTTACAGAGTTGTTCTCTGTATGCTCGCGCGAGTCACTACAAACTAGAATTAGTTCAAAAACAAGTGAACAAAATATACTTCGACTAATAAAATTTTCTTTATAATTTCTTTTTTACAATTTCAATTCCCTCTTTCACACTTTCTATGTTAAGATGAGTTGGAGGTAATACACGTTGTAATATGTCTAGAGCACGTTCTAAATATGAAAGTGCTTTGGAGTACTCTCTCATATGGTGATACACACCACCGATGTTGCTGTATAACTGCGCGAAATCAGGATGATTTGAAGGAAGAGCTTTTTCTCGAATGTCAAGTGCTTTTACGTAAAATGAAAGTGCTTTCGAGTACTCTCCTATCTTATCATACACCAAACCGATGTTGTTGTATGAAGTAGCCAAATCAGAATGATTTGAAGGAAGAGTTTTTTGGCAAATTTCAAGTCCTTGTTCGTAATACCAAATAGCTTTTTCATAATCACCTTGGTCATCTTTGGCATATCCCAGCTGATTATAATAATGCTGCTTTTGACTCTCATCATATGTCTGTTCCAGTAATACATTATAAAGTTCTTCAGCTTCATTAAATTGACCAATTTTAAGCAATAAGTTACCCAGTCTCTGCCATCCAGTACCATCAACTTCTTCTCGTATCCGATCAGTAAGTAATCGTAATTGTTGATCATCATCCGTCGTTAATTGTAATTCAACTTGATAAAGTTGATTCTTATTGTCCATTTGTTTAACTGCATTCACGCGAAAGACGGTATGCATTGAGAAGAGAATTTCTTCTTCTTCCTTAAAATAACTCATGTCTTTGATGGAGGCAAATGGTGTTGATTTTATACAAGGATTAATGAACATTATAAATAAAATGCCAACCATGTCCGCGTTTTCTGATGCACTACGGGCAAATACGAGAGATATGTTTTGTTCGATACTAGTAGATAAAAAGTTATTGAAAGATATTAAAGCACCTTCCGATTTTTGTAATTTTTCGAAACTTGCTTTGGATAAACCTTGTCCCCGGTAAACTACGAATGGTTTATAATGATAATTAGGAGCTTGCTGTTGGTATAGGAGCTGAATTTGTTCATGAAGATCGCGAATAAAGAAGCCCATTTTAATAATGGTATTGCTTTCCATCCAGCGAAGACTATCATTGAGCATACAGTAGATGAATGGAGTGAACGTATACCACTGAATAGCTGATTGAGGATGGTATTCTTGTTCAAATCGATCAATAATGGTTGTAGATCCACAGTTATTATGTCTACAGTAAGTGATAAAGTCTTCGATGGTCTGCTTATTGTGTTCCATATTAAGTAGAATTTCTTTGAATAACTGAGTATACATAAATGTTGGCTCCAACTGATTTAAATCATTAGTTGAAGTCATTTCATTTACGGTGACAAAACTCATAGCAATTGAATTTTGATTGGATTGCTTGATATTCAGTTGTAATGCTTGACAAATGTCCTTGATATTTGCATGGACTCCTTTAATTTTTGTCCAGTTATGTGCCCATCCCTCATGTCTGGATTGGTCGCCACAGAAGATGTAAATTGTATCTAACTTTGGTATGCTATGAATTTTAGGAACCAAATGTTGACCTAATGAGCCTGATACTATGACGAAGGCTCGTTCCTTGTCAAACTTGTTGAGTACTTGGATGCATTGATTCGGTTCAGTGCATAAGTTGACATCATTGACCACATTCTTCAACTGAGTCAGTGTATTCTGGCAGCCCTTGTCTGTTAGGTCGATATCGGTATCCACCCATAGGAGAAGGTAATTTAGAGTCATACGTTGTTGTGGTTGACGAACATAAGACGCTGCTGCTACGCGAGACGATTTTACGTTTGCTTGTGAAGGTTTCGGATCCATGATACGTATATGGTAATAGCTGTATGTAGTTGAAGAGCTGATTAATTAATGGTTAAGAAAACAGACGAATATCGTTATTTATACGAGAATCAGATCTCTTTATTTCAATGTTTTTATGGCGTCATTGATTATCTTCTTTTATTTATTCTGTGTAGTTACAACAGAACTTTGTCTTTTGCATTATTTCATGTACGTTATACAGCCAGGTAAGTCCAAAGAACAAAAAAAAAGAATTCATTTTTTCCAACTTTCTTCACAGATAAGAGATAATATCGTCACCAATAGAAAAACACATATTTGCTTTGTAAGTAATGCACATTAAAAACCTCCAGCAGTGGTCTTATTTTAAACTTCTTGACGGTGAGTGTGGGTGCGAATTCATCTTTTCTTTACCCACACCCTCCTGATCTGGTCCTTATAATAACTCTAGTAACCTTATTGTATATTTCATTATAGTATATTCAATATGAACATACTGTTGCTAACTTGTATTGATTTTTCTAAAAGACTATTACTATTCGATATTGATAACAATCAATTGTTGCTGCTAATGAAGAATTCAATCGTAAATTAGCTACTCGTGAATTAGCAAAAGATTCTATGACTAATTTTGTGTTCCGAGATAATTAAAACGAAAAGCAAGAAAAAGTTAGGCGTCACTTCTTTCTAACAAATATTTTACAGCTGATGACAGAAAATGAATCATCAGTGTTCTTTTAATGTAGGATAATTTGAATTCTCGATTTCGATAATATAAATTTGACTTTATTTTCGAAATCAAACTTTACATCGCATTTCGCAGACGAGGCTCGATTCGTGTGCGATCTAGTGAATTCAGCATCTTTATTTATTAATATCAGGAGTTATATGTCTATCAATAGTATTAATATATTTTTAGGATTACCACATTATATCATTACATTATTAGATTTATTTAATATCATAGAAATATATCAAAACGAAAACAAATTATACTATTAAAAATGAATAGAAATTATATTTTCATAAAATAAAAATAAATATTAGTACTAAATGAAAAACAAACTATTACAATCGTTTAAATTTTCGTGGTCTTGTACATGCATCATCATTCCACCAGGCACTTATATCATCGATAACATTTGGTTTTGAATCAAGATGTAAACGTAAACAAAGATCACAAAGAGGTGTGAGAAATCCACTTATACCCCATACATAATTTTCTTTCCAAGAGAAAAATGATAAATATTTTTCTTTATCCTGACGAATTTCCTTAATATATTGAGCTAAAGAACTTAAATTCGTATAATCATTTGTATCTATAAAACCTGATGATGGAATAAAATAAGAATAATTTGTTCGACCAAGAACAATCGGTACAATTGGATATTTAATTGGCGTAAAAAATTTTTCAGCTGAATAGAAAGAAAAAAATGTCTTTTAAATTAAACTCTTTCTATTTACATACTTGTATAATCTCTACAGAGACTATTTTCGAAACTAAGAAAAAAATAATAATTTTTTGAAATAAATTTCATACAATTAACATTTGTAGGACATGCTTCACCTTGTCTGCCATATACTTTTATATCAATATAACGTTTTAAATGTTTTATAAACATAAGACGTCCACTACTACCTCCTGGATTTGAGATTAATGCAGCAATTGTACCTAATTTTTTTTCGTCTAATATTGAATCAGATGGTCGATAAATAGGTTTTTGAAATTGTAAATTAAGATTTTTTGTTATATTTTCTTGTATTAAAAATTTATAATAATCACTTGATGTATGTATATAAGCATTACTAGAATAATATGGTGCGATAATATGAGATTTAAATCGATATGTCATTGTCCAATTAAAAAACTTTTTATAAGATTTTAAGTTAGGTGTATGTGTTGGTGATTCCCAAAGAGCAAATACAAAACGTTGTTCTGGTTGACGATATCTTCTGGCTTCTCGTAGATTAATATCATCACGCATATGATAAACTACAGCATCTGCTTCAGGAAATAGAGTTTTATTGTCTGTTACTTCACAATAATTTGATAAAAATGGACATGAAAGTTCAGTCACTAAAGAGAAACGAAAAGATTATTTTTTTCCAGATATTAGATGGGTTTGTTTTACTTAGTTTAGTTGACGATTGTCCAATTGAAGATAAACCCCATTTTCGATCTCCAAAAATTCCATTGCCTAATAAAATAAGTTTTGATATATTTTTTAATGATGTCAAATTTTGTGTATAAATATGAATAGGTAAATATGGATAATGAGAATATAAATGAGATTGAAATAATGGCTGTGAATCGTTGAGATTAATTGTCGAAAACTTTTTTGATCTCTTAACATGAGAAGATGATGAAAAAGGAATTATATCAGAAAAATATAATAATGTAAAAGGTATCGGTATTGATTGTAAAGCAGTTGAATAGCTACTACCATATAATAAATAGAATATAGTTGTTATAATAGAAATACAACATAAAAATAAAAAACGTTTTGGATACTTCATTAATTGATACCTAGAATAGAAATAAAAATTTAATATTATAGATATATGCGTCAAAGGAGATGTTTGACAAAGATAACGTACTTTTTATTCAAATAAAACTACCGATAAATTAAGAAAACAGACTTTAAATTTTTTAAAAAATTGGTCAAAGTTCCATTTAATACTAAGAATGATCAATGCTCCCGGATTCTATATTGAATTAAACTCAATGATTAATCTTATCATTACCAATATTCATGTGCATTGAACTTCGTTATTATGTCTATTCGATGTTGAACGCATCTTTTATTTACAGGTTATGCAAGATCAGACGAAAACAAACCGATAAAGTGTCTTAGAAATAGTTTGTTGAGAAGGTGAAACGAATTAGCACAGATACACGAAAGAATTTTTGGTAGATCATTTCTGGTACATCTTGTACATTACAAATATCACTATGAGTAAGATACAATATTAGTAATAGAAAAGTAGTGAAGCGTATCAATTGTGTATTGGTGGACATACTCTATATAAGATGTTTTTTTGTGTCAACAACTACGTGAGAAATTTCGTAAGTTTTTTTAGGTGTCATATATAAATGGACACTAACGTCTCACGAATTGAAGATGGTGCTAGTATCGTTTTATACAGTGTCTTTATTGTTGAGATTGAATAATCATATTTTCAAAAACGTCTTCAAACAATAAAGATGGATAAAGTCTTTTTATGTTCTATCTCTCTTGTAAATACATGAAATGTATCATTTATGTAGTTAATAAGAAATAGTCATCAATTCTATAACTATATTTCTTGATTAATAAGTGATTCAATACATGAAGACTTCTTAAATTTATGGAAAATGATATGACAAAAGAATGAAACAGCACGTCTTGATGATAAAGCCATAATTGCTATATTAATCATTTCATATAAGAAAGCGTTTTTTTAAACTTAATAAGTAATGAATGATGTCAAAACCTAAGTATTCATTAACATTGTGAAGAATCTTCAAATTTTATTAATCAAAACAATTTCAGTTTGACAGTATTCTGAATCACTCTTCCTTTTTTATTTAAAAAAAAGTTCAGTTAATTTTAATAGAGAAAAATAACTCTTGATAATAAGATGTTTTTCTGGTTGGATACATAAAATTTAAAAGCTTTTTCTAATTTTCTAATGCATGCTTACGTTATATTGCTTAACTCTACTTTCGACTAACATTCATATCTTTGTAGAAATACGTTAGTGAGCATCTTGTATAATTGCTAAGAATGATTTCTCTAATAATGAATCAAACCTTTCAAATTCGATTTTAGTGGTTGATTTTTTGTTTGCAGCTGACAGATGTACAAAATTTACATGTTAATATTGATTTCGATAATTATAAGATACACCATCATGATCATAATAAATAGATGCTATGATTAAAATTATGATCGATGATGCAAAGGAAAATCTTATCGATTTTATCATCGCGTTCGCTCCTTCATTGTGCATTTTATAACACTATATATGGAAAGAACAGAGAGCAATTATATAATATTTTGTTTTATTTGACAGACAAAGGACACTTTTCTATACGATATTATCAATCAAGTTTTATCAAGCATAGATTGATATGATAAATAAAAATATATGATTTTGTTTTAGTTTAATAAAAATAGGTATGTGGGTATAGTTTATTTTTCTGTTTTTGGAATTGAAAGTTATACAATATATACACATTGATTTGTAAATGATTATATATGTGTGTGTATATATTAAATTGAAGAATAGTTTATATTATTAAGCATTGTAACCAATTAATCGTTGAACACTTGGATAACGGTTTCGAATTGGCATAGTCTTTTGTTGATCAATATAGAGACTGTTTTTTTTCATTTCAATTTCTTTGACAAGTATTTGATGATCATCACGAAGTTTTTTCAAATTTGCTTCAGCTTCACGTAATTCGCCAGTTAGACTATCGATTGTTTGTGATAGTTGATAAACTTCACCAACCAAACTTAAATAAACAAAAAATGAACGATTATACTTCATAAAATGATATCAAAATGTTTTTCTTTTCGTACTGATCTTGAGCTGGATCATGACATGATTCAACACCAGGTCGAGCACGTCGATCATTCAAACGAGTTTGAGCTACTTTTAATGGTGCTTCTTTAGCACGTATTGATGCACGAAGCATATCGATTTTTCTTTCATTCTCAGCAATAGCTTGTAATGTCTAAAAAATAAAATAGATATTTTTTTTCTTAGTTCCGTCAATATTCTTTTCAAATAGTTTACTTCGCGCATATTGAAATTCATTTTTTGCATGGCATCAGACATTTCAGAAATACGTCTACCAAATTCTGTTTCAACAACATCAGCTTGTTCACGCATATCTCGTGAAGTATCCATAAGTATACTATCAATTAAAGAACGTAGTTGAATTGATGCCATAAGTTGATTTTGAGCATTAACAATGTTATCATGAGAATTCTGTGCCCAAGATTCAGGTGTTGATTGACTAAATATAATGTTAATGTTAAAAAAAATTTAACTTTTTTCTTATTTATTCATAATTACTTGTCATAATGTCGAGCAACACCTGGATAAAACATAATATCAACATCTTCATTACGACGATTTGTTGCTTTAGCATCAGCAACTGATGCTTCATATTTATTACTCCAATCCATTTCAAGGTTTTGTTTTGCATTACGATTTGATCTTATTTTATAAGAAATATAAATAATTGTTATTTTAGACAACAAAAGTTCTATAATATATATTCGATCTCCTTTCTGTATTGTATGTTTCGCTAGATATTGAAGACAAGAAACAAAAATACACACTTATCGAAGGGATACTATGTAACTAGGATGTTTTTAATTTCTTTTATGGATTTTTACAATTAACTTTGCGCTAAGTAATAAGTGATGCATAGTAAAACTTTTACCTAATTTGTTGTTCAGCAGTCATGATTGTTTGACGCAAAAGATTTTGTACATTATTAATAATTTCAACTTCTTTTAATAAAGCAACTTCAACTCCATCATAAACACGATCTTCTCCATAACGTCGATCTCGATTACCTAATGATTCAGTTGCAATATGAAGTGGAGCTTCAGTAGCATCCAGTGCATTAGTTAAACGTTTCTTTTGTGCTACCAATAGATCAGTTTCATTACGTATATCTTCAATCATACGATTGAGCTCGAATTTCCAAAAGTTAACATCATGTAACCTATCAAAAACAAATAGATTGAAATATATATTTTCATTATTAAATAAATAAATAAACCGTTGTTGTAATTTTTTTGTTGATAAAGCTTGAGTTTGTTGTTGAAGTGCAAGTGTCTCATGCTCGGTTCGTGTTGCTTGCCAACGTTGTTTTTCAGATGCATCACGATCATTAAATGTTTGATGATATTTAGCATAATTATTTTCATGCCATTCATTAGGATTATATTTATTTGTACGGAAACCAACAGTAGATACTCCTATACTAGTACCTGTTTGTCCACGATAACTAGGATCAAATTCATAGTTTTCTGATGATAACATTTTTTTTTTGTTTCTCTATTTGTAACACGAATCGACTAGTTGGATTTGTTCTCCGAGCACGAGTTGAATTATTATGTTTTTCCTTAAAAATGATTACTAGTCGACAAACATTTACAGCTGATGTTGTCAAGCAACAGACCTTGAAGTAACAAGTTCTGCTAAAATAAAATTTTTCCATCATATACAGATGACATCTATGTAAACAACTGTTTCTAATAAAATAAACTTTGTGAAAAATATCTGAAGGAAATATTTCATAAATCAAGGACTGTGCGATGAATATTTTTTAATAATACGATACATATGAGATAAAGAAATCAATGATTAAACTTCATAACCGACAAAATATTTTACTTTTCCCTTTACTAATTAATTTTCATTAGATAGAAGACAGTTAATGAGATTTTATTGTAAATTGAATGTGCTAAGATGGATTTAAGATTTTTATACGATACGACTGGTATTAATATTCTGAAACCATATGAAAAAGTATGATATCATGTTCACTTTTAAGAGAGAAATACTGATTGATGATGATTTCCATCCAAATAGAAAAATTCTTGGTTAGAATGGTTTCGTTTACGACGAAGAAAACCAAATTCAGAAGAAGAAATCAATGAAATTCATGATCTTATTCTCAATGTTTATGAATCAATGGATGATCAAGCTCGAGCTGTTATTCTTTCTCTGTCAAAAATAGTTGAAGATGATGATAAGTCAGTAACAATAGAAGAAAAAATCAAAGCTATCATTGCCATCGGTCATTCACTTTGTTGTGGTATATATTTAAATAAAATTAGAAAAACTATTTTATTAATTATATAGCTCATATGCAAGTAAAACATTCAACACAACTCTATTCGAAAATATTAGTTCGAGCATTATCTCATCAAGATTTACGAATGCGTTTAGCTGCTATGATTGCTATTGCTGAAACAGCAATTGATAATTTAAGTTTTCAAATGAAAGTAATGAGTCTTCCTTATAACTATATGTATAAAGATTTCATTGATACTTTTCGTAGTTAAATGAAATTGAAATTATACCAAATTTATTCGAAATAATGAAAAGTTCAATACCATATGCTGGTCGTACACTTGATGATATAAATGAACATACAAAGTTAGTTGCTTGGAGTTGTTACACAATTGTTAATATTTGTGCTAACTGTATGCCAAATATTCTTTTGTTAAAAAGTAAATCAAACACTTCAAAGTTCATTAGATAAACATTTTCTTGTACTATAGATATTATACCTGTTGAACTCGAAATTTTAAATGAAGCTATTCAAATGGAAGTGTGGCGTTATGTTTGGCGTGAAAATTATGCTAGAACACTTGTTGAATTTGCTAATTATGAGCAAACTTCTCATATTATCTGTAATGCTATTCAACCCAAACCATATTTATTTGAAAATAATCAAAACCATATTGAACAATTACCAAATAGTATACCATCTTCTATAAATTATCAAAGATGTGTAATTCTTTAATAATTAACCGTATAGAATGTTTATTTATTCAATCAACAGGGATAATATAATATTCTTCTTTAAACAAATGTTGTAATAACTTAATCTAAACACATGTTCTGCTTATTAAAATCTCTAAAAGCATAGCTAGTCATTTTGTTAATTTGATTATTTATGCATATCTTACATAGTATTCGCAACATTCCATATTCAATAAATATTTAAATCTATTATATATGCCATCCTTTTTTAGAAGCGCGTTCTGAATTTGGGTATTTCTTTTTTGTTGAATCTGACATCGTTTCAATAAAATTTGTTATACAAATAAACAAAATATTTTAGATAAGATCTATATATTCCCATTTTTTTTGATCAATCTTCAAATAATTGCTTGCTGCTTTGAACTGAAGGTCACATGGATATCAATTACATACGTATACGCAATCAAAACAGACAATAACGCCATCTATCGAGTAAATTATTCTAGATTGAAAGCAATTTTCTTTATCTTTTTCTTCATTGTCCTTCTTTTTTTTCTAATACAAAATTTCATTTTCAATTTAGTTACATCTGTCATAAAAATATCCAATACAAATCGGAATCAATATCAATGATTCACTGATTATACGGGGTCAAATAATAGGATTGATTCGATCAATTTCACATGTAAAGCAATCAATATTTCGCATTTGTTTATTTCTTCTTAGATGAAAACAGAATTTATGTAGTAAAGAAAAAAAAGCATAATGTCTTCCGAATCTACAATATCAAAACCGCTATTTTCACCAAATCGGACACGTTTAAAAACTTCGGATGAAAATAATTCTAACGAACATGAATTATCTTCATCAGCCGCAAGCGAAGAAAGTCATACGTTATTATCTGAAACTGTAACAACATTAGCAAGTAATGTTTATAATGAATTAGAACGTATTATAAAAAATTTTGGTGAAAATAGTGTTAAAGATTTAATGCCTGTTATGATATCAACATTAGGTTTGTTGAATAAAATTAAAAAGAATAATAATCATACTTTTCTTCTTCTTCTTTTAAAGAATCACTTGATAGTGCTTTACATGAGCGTGAAGTTAGTAAACTTGAAATTGAATCATTAAAAGAACAAAATGAACAATTATTTCAACAATATGAACGTGAAAAAGGTTTCCATAAAGAATATCAACAAGTAATTTTTATTTTATTAGATTGATTTATTTTAATAATAGTTTTTTTATTTCATATATTTAGCGTTATTTACAAGTTGAAGATAATCTTGAAGAAACGAAACGTGAAAATGATGAAAAATTACAAAGTCTTGAATCTATTGTTAAAATATTTGAAATAAAAGCACGAAATGCATCTGATCATGTTGCAAGATTAGAAGAAAAAGAAAATGAAATGAAAACTGAATATAAACGATTACATGAACGATATTGTGAGGTATGGAATACGAATGGAATTAGTTTTATTATATATTTATATAAATAATATATTTAGTTATTCAAAGCTCATTGTGATTATATGGAAAGGACAAAAATTCTATACGGAACTGATCGATTAGATCAATTATCTACAACTAATAATCCTTCACGTTCAAGGTTAGTTATTATCTTTTTCAAAATAAACAAATCGTAGTATATCATGCACTAAAGACTCTCATGTACTAAACGTTTTTTGAGTAGATTTACATATGTACTGACTAGAAGTGCGGAATCTTTTCAAAAATCAAAAACTTTCCCTCCCAGCGCGGGAGCGCACGAGGAAGATTCTGCGCATCTGGTACTGTCTACGAGTATTCGACCTTCGATTTGATTAAATTATAGAAACAAGTGTTAGTAAGTTAGATGAATTGATTAGGACAATTTCGTGTAATTCCAGAACGTTATACAAAGTTCAAATTGATAATATCTCAAGGTCAAAACAGATGCGAATCTTATTTTCGAAACTACTAAGTGTTAGATAAACAATCATGTCCTTAAAAACAATTGTTTCTTTGATTAAATATTTTAAAACATTGGCTTTCTTTTTTTAAATAGAGGTAATCTTCAATTACCATTAACATCACGGCAACAGTCTCAATCATCGGATACTAAACAATCAATTTCCAATGAACTATTAACTGATGAAATAACTCCTACACGTTCTGATATTTCCTACCCGTAATATTCATTTCTTTCTATTAATTTATCAATTTTCTCTATCATAGATCTTATAAACAACCATCTATTGGTGCTAATTTTCGTTCTGAATTGGAAGCTGCAGATGGTAAACATACTCAAACAGAATCAATGACGAGCAATGATGTAGCTGTAAATACAGGTATACTTCTTTTAGATTTTCTCTTCAAATTTCTCCCATTTTCTATAATAATGAAAAAACATTTAAAAAAAAAAAGAACTTCCACATTCGAACTTAGTTTTTCATGGTGATTGGGCAGAGAATTGGTCGAATAGTTGTAAGTAAACCGAGATTATTCGTATGTCCTTAGGATGAATGATATGCAAGAATATTAATAAAATAAATTTAACTTTTCTATGACTATTGCATGATTTGTAATGCACATAAATATTTCAGCTAAATCAGCAAAAACTACATCAACAACAAAGCCAGCAAGATTATCTAATGAATTACCATTAAAAGAATTTGCATCAGGTCAGCTATCTATTGTAAAAAATACATATTGTCGATTTGTTCGTCTAATTGTGCTCGTATATATATATATATATCAAAAAAAAGGAGTGAACGCTGCTATATTGAGATAAAGAATACGAAAAAAACCCACAGTATTCAACTGAATTTCCTATTCGTTTATATGAAACAAAAACCGAGATGTTATTATTTAATCTAGATTTTGATGATTCATATATTGAAAACTATAAACGTGGTAAGAGAGTCATTTTGAGTAGCAGCATGTATTGGCAGTTTTATTTTGACTGGCAATAATGCAGCTTTCATTTAATTATGTCCAACCAATTAAATGCATGAGGGAAGGTACACTATTAATACATAATTCAATTGAGATCCTATTTTATTTTCCAAACTTATTTCCTGATTTAACTGAACCTTTTATGCTGCTCATGCTTTTGCTTTCTGTGTGCATTATGTCTCCAAAAACAATTTTGTATCCTTTTTATTTTATTTTATTTATTCTGATAAATTTTGTGTTTTGTATGTTGTGTATTGTCTATGTTGCATGCTACGTAGGAATATTCTCGAAATTACGAAGTCTCAATCTTCTATCGGAACCGTTCGATGAACAACAATTCTTCGTTAATGAAGACGAATTCGAACCGACAACCAATACTACAGGTGATCTAATAATCGAATTAGTTACGAGGAAAGACACAGAAATTGTATTGCATGTGCATGTTAACAAAGTTTTAATTATATCCTTTTTTTTCTTTTTCTTATCTATAATGTAATTTTCTTTGTTCAAAAATAGATGTACCAGCAAGTGATGATGATGAAGATATAGTAGATGATACGTAAGACAAAATTATTTGTTTTTAATGAATTTATTTTGAATTTTTGTTGATATAGAAAAAATTCCGAAGCATTCTATAAAGAAACAAGAAATGATAATATTGATATATCGGATGTCGATGCATCGGCAGATTTATTTGGTAAGTAAAAATTATTTTTCAGAAGTTTTTAGTTTGTTTTGATCTCATATCTTTTTTCATTCTCATTCAGTTCGACAAAGTTTTTACGGTGAGAAATATTATGTTGTAAAAGTGGGATCTAGGAAACTTCTTTTTTTATTTTTTATTAATGCTTGTATGAATTTTTTACTAACATTGTTGTTTCATATCTTGAATAATATATATATTTATTTGTTAACTGTTTTTTTTTTTCTAAATAATCTAGGTATGACGAAAGAAGTATCGAATTTGATTAAAGAAAACAATGAACTTCTTGAAACAAAGTATATAAAAATCTAATGATTACAAGTATCAATAATAATTTTTTCTGTTTTATTTTCATAGGAATGCATTGAATGTACTCAAAGATGATTTATTAGTAAAAATTGAAGAATTATCGAAGTAAAGTAGAAAATATTTCCTAATTATTAAATATATATATATATTATTTATAGTGAACAAGAAATTCTTCGTGAAGAAGTAAATTCATTACAAACAGTTAAAGGTCGATTACAATCAAGGTAAAAAACAGAGAAATTATCTATTGATAGAAATAAAGGAATTTTTTTAGAATAACTGAAGTTGAAGATGAACTTCGAAAAACACGTGAAGAACTAGAAAAAAAAGAAAAAAGAAGAAGAGGTAAGATATATTAATTTAATGATAAGCATGAAAAAACTTTTTTATATAACATAATCTGTATATATATATATGCATGTAACATAACATATTAATACTCTCTAATAGATAAATGAGCTGTTTTTGAGTGTAAGTTGAATGTTTTTTTTTACTCGAAAAAAAAAAGAATTTAGCTGCACTATTAGCATTAATTGATAAATGCTCTTGCTCTGATATATTTATGCAATTAAATTTTAATTATAATCTATTACATTCTCTCAGGAAGATGTACCGACAGCAGATAGAAAGCGTTTTACTCGAGTTGAAATGCAACGTGTTCTTCTTGAACGTAATCAGTACAAACAACGTTTATTTGAACTTGAAGAAGCTATTCATTGGCATGATGCTTTACGTGCATCTAAACAAGAACAAATGCATCCATCATCAACAATGAATACAATTCATGAAAGTTCATTTGATCATACACAAAATAAGAAAAGAACAACATTTTGGAAACTGTAAGTTCTAAAATAGAAATATTTTATATAGAAATAAAACAAAAATTTGTGTTGTACCTATTCTCTCAAATGATATCATATTTCCGCATTCTATCTATTCGTTCGGTACATTTTTCATTGTCTTGCATATTTACTAACGTATGCATGAAATGCATTAGCTTATGACAAAACAATACCTTCAAATATACAAAAGTTTTTTCCTTATAGAAAATTTTACTGAAAAGTAAAGGTACACAAACAAAAATACATTATCGACAATCAGTACAACAAAATCCTATGCCTACATCGTCAGTAAAATCTACTAAAGATACATCGAAATCTATGTGGCGTGTATTCAGTAATGACTGGTTACCCGGAAATATTTTAAAATCACATGCTGGTGCTGCTATACAGAATGATTTGAGAGAGGGTACAACACAAGTTACTGAGTTGTAAGAATGAAAATAATTTATAAATATTAGCTGATTTTCTAAGCGCAGATATTTGTTGATTTATTTGATTATTTAATTTTCTAGCTTTTCGGGTTTGTTTGGTACTGGTGTCAAAGATGTTCCACCAAAACGTATAGCAACAACGAATTTATCATCATCAACTATGATTAAACATAGCCCGACAAATGATCAAATTGCACCGATAAATAATAAACAAGAAACTGTCACAGATGAAACACTTCCATTAGATCGATCAATTTCAGAAAGGTTTGATTTAATAATATTAATCATAATTTAGACCATGTGAAAGAAACTTGAATTTTCTGGCTAAAGAGTTTGTGTCAAGCAAAACTATAAATAAATTTAATTCACAGAAAAAAATATATACCAAGAGGAAGTTCTTATAATCCAATCTCTATCTATTTTCCATTTAGTGCGGTAATTATCGATACACCAAGACAATCAGCATCGTCATCAACAGCACGTCGTAGTAATTCAATATTAATTAATGATGATAATCGTCTTCAAGCTTATGGTTGGAGTTTATCATCAAAAAATCAATTAAAACTATCGGAAGTTAATGGTAAAGTACAAGTCAATGTTCCTGTTCCTGTTTATTGTCGACCTATTTTTAACACAAATGATACAACTCAAGTATATTAAGAAAAACCAAACATAACTCGTTTTTATTTAATTCATTTTAGATTTGGTGTGCTATTGGAATTGATTTGAGTGGTTCACCAATAACTATTGATGAAACATTAACAACAAATGAAACATCTGTTGATCAATTAAATAAACAATTAATGGAATCATATTATCAAATGGTTGATGAACAATGTTTAAAATTATCATCGATTGTTTGGATTGCAGCAAAATCGAATGAAACAGCTATGATAACGATTATCGATTCAAATAAAGCCGAAAAAATTATTGATACATTTACATTAGGTAATGCAATTGTTTATGCAATGGGTAGTGTTCCAGGTAAAATAAATCTTCTTTTAATTATTCTAAAAGTCAATTAATATTTATCTGTATAGGACCATCAAGTACAGATTATCCGCCATTTGATATGTCAAAATGGACTTTATTTGAAGCTGATAGTGCATCTGCTAGTGGTAATATTTCAACAATACATTCGCTTTATCTTACTAAATTATATTTTTCATTATTTTAGACGTAAAAGTTACACCTTGTACTATTGCATCATTAAATACGGGTGGAAGTAAGAATTAAATATTTGAAATTTTCAGATAAATAAAATCTTTTAATAGGTCGTCCAACTACTATGGAAACACATTCAGTGGAATCGAAAACATCTGAACAAAATGTAACTTATCAACGTAAGTATATTATTGATAAAAGATATTTCGAAAGATATATTTATTGATAGAACAAAAGAAAACTAAAGAGGATAAAATTCGTTCTACACGTTCGAGATCATTTTTATTTTGGTCAGATTTAACCGGTCGAACCGATCGTAAAGCTCTTTGCTGCTCCTATAAAATATATTTAATCAATAAACTTTAAATAATTTTGTTTTTCTATTTTATTTAGCTGGAAATGAAAATATTTCAAATTCTTCAACAAAATATCCAACTGTTTGGCTAGGAACAGGTGATGGATGGTTATATATTCATTCAGCTATAAGTGAACATCGAAAAACAATAGAAAAAGTTTGGCTTCGACATGCAATTTATAGTATTGTGTAAGAAAAATGAAGGATTAAATCAATTTTTTATTTAAATCTTATTTTAAGACATGTTCATGGTCGAGTTTTTATTTCACTTGCTAATGAAAAAATCGTCGTTTTTTGTCGTAACACAGGTAAGAAAAAATGATATGTTATTAGAAAAATTTTGATTTATTTATGTAAAGATGGAACATGGAATTTAAATAATTTTCATTTAATAACAACTGGTAAAAGTCGCGAATCAGTACGATGTATGATCAATGTTGGAGAATCTATATGGTGTGGTGTAGCTAATCGAGTTTATGTTATTGATGCTCAAACATTAGAAGTTCGAGTATGTTTTTTGAAAGATTTTATGTCTTTATTTCTATAGAAATTGTTTTGATTTATTAGAAACAATTTGATGTTCATTCTCGGCCAGACCATTCTGTTCAACACATGACTTGGTCTGGTGATGGTGTTTGGTTATCTATTCGTTTATCAAGTACATTACAATTATATCATGCACAATCATATCAGCATTTACAAGATGTTGATGTACAACCATATGTTGAAAAAATGATTGGTTAGTTTCGTCTTTTTTTTGTACAAATAATTATTTCAATGATTTAAAAATTTGATTTTTAGCAACAGAAAAAGCTGGTCTTTATTTTGTTCATATTAGTGCCTTAACAATTGCTTGTCGTCGTCTATGGATTGGTACTGGCAATGGTATTATTATATCGGTTCCTCTTACAGACAGTAAGTATGGTATTAAAAGAAAATTTTGCTAGTAGATAGAGTTACCATGACTTTTAACGATTGATTCTATTGAAACATATAAATCAAAGTAAAACTCAAGAGAGATGCTCAAAAAAGAAAGTGACGCTGATCGATTAAATCAATTCAAGGACAAATATCTAGGAGATTTGATTAGACTTAGATCGATACGAGCTTGAGAGAATGTTCTCTAGGGAAGAAGTAACAATAGTATTGAATACAAATAAATCTAAAAATTTGAATTAATGCCTCTCGATTTAAACATGACCACAATCTTATGACTTTTAATGTGATAAAGCTCTGATTGAAATCATAGAACTTGATTCTATACATCTTTCACTTGGAAATATTTTATACGATTGATAATCTTCATTTTCTTTTCAGATATAACAACAGCAACATCAGCAACAACAAGTCCAACTTCAACAAAACCTGGTTCGGTTGTCCGTGTATACGATCAACCGTCATCGTCAGCGTCATCATCATCTAGTTACATACCATATTGTAGTATGAATAATGCTCAACTATCATTTCATGGTTATCGAGATGCTGTTAAGTTTTTTGTTGCTGTACCTGGTCAACCTCCATCAAAATTACTTAGCGATGATGAATCAACTCCAGAACCGATACCAACAATATCAGCTTCAAATACAACTGATTCATCTGCACTAGCTTTTGGAGATATTCTTGTTGTAAGTGGTGGCGATGGTTACATTGATTTTCGTATTGGTGATTCAACAACTGATAAACTTGATGATTTGTCTCTTAACAATAGAAATATATCATATCTTATAGTGTGGCATTTGGGTTCTATTTAAATAATATTTAATTTGCTTTCTTATCTATCGCGTATGCATTTTCACCTAGTCAGAAAAAGAAACTACAAA